AATCGCCTGTATTGATAACAGGGGACGTCAACACGTCCAACAGCAACAACAATTTGCTGTGACCTGAATGAATTAATAAATACCACCTCCAATTATTATTTTTTTTTTTTTTTAAATAATTTTCTCTCGGAGAATTTTCCGCAGCATTTTTCCATCATTTTCTTCCTTTTTGGATGAAATAAAAAAAAAAAAAAAAAAAAAAAGTATACAGGCATGCTTGAAAAGAATATATAAATAATAACGTGAAGGGTTTTTTGTTTTTTTTTTTTTTTTTTTTTTCGGGAGGTTTTTAAAAATTTTTTTTTAAAAGCAATACAAAATGTTGTTAGATATACTTACATATACTTATATAAACAATTTTTTTTTTTTTTTAGTTTAACTAAAACACCTAAATATAATTTTTTTTTTTTTTTGCAAAGTTTTAATTATTAAGAAAAAGCAATTTGTGTAACGGTTTTTTTTTTTTTCGGTTTGTTTGTTTATCTTATTTCGAAATGAAAATTTGGATTATTTTTGGAAAAGAGAAAAAAGGATTTCTATTAAATAGTATATAGCAGATTAATAATAATAATAAAATAATAATAATAATAATAATTAAATAAGTAAATAAATAGATTATTAATTATTTCCTAATGAAGAATTTCAATGAGTAGATAGATAGATAGATAGTTTTTAAATATTAACTTATTTTATTTTTTTTTTCTCTCTAAAGAATAAAATATTATTTTATTTACATTTATTTATTATTATTATTATTATTATTAATTATTGAAAGATACTAAACTAAATAAATTTTTTTTAAATTTCATTAAAAGTATAGCATTAATTTAAAAATAAATAAATCAGCCTCAATTTTTTTTAAATCTAAAATTACACATAATTTTCTTTTTCTTAATCAAAAAAAATTAATAATAATTAAATTGAATAAGAGCATCATTTTATAAAGGAGTGAAAGGGGGGTGGGGTGGGTGTGGGGGAATTTAATTCAACAATACCTAAACAAACAATAATGATAATAATAATAAAAACAACGTATCACCGAATCCCCCGTATTTTGATTAACCTTTCTTGTCATCGTAACTAATAATATTAGTTCTCTAACGATTAAAAAAAAAAAATTAAATAATTTGTATTATCTATTAATAATAATAATAATAATAATAATAATAATAATAATAATAATAATAATAATGTAGTGCGATTTTTCCCCCCCTTTTTTTTTTTTAAATGTAATTTATACGTGGTAATAAATCATGCAAATTTTCCGTTGCAAAAAAAAAAAAAAAAACTAAAAAAAATTTTGCACTGAAGTAACCTCTTCAAAAATATATAGAAAACCTTTTTTTTGTCAGAGTCATCTTTATCCATTCTACAGCTCTCTCTAATATCCTCTTTATCAGAATTGATAAAAGGGGATCCTTAAAAGAAAAAATTTTCCAAAGAGCTTTCGATTGAATAAAGACAACACCGAATGTTTTATCAACTTTTCTATCGTTTTGATAAAAAAAAAAAAAAAACGAAAGGTTTACACACACACACACACACACAAAAACCCAATAAATCTAACGATTAATAATAATAATAATATAAGCAAAGAAACTTGCCTCGTTCAAACACAAATAAATATTCGATGGATTTATATGTTTAAAAATAGAAATTAACATGACTGACTGACCTGTTATTTTTACATCAGCGCCATTTTCTTTTTCAAAAAGATGGCCGAATACAATGACACACGCGAGCGACCGTTAATTTCGACGCTGGCCTAATTAATTTCGTTACCAAAAAAAAAAAAAATAGAAAAACCGTCACCAAATTTCTAAAATTGTTAACTTTTTTTTAAAAACAATATTTACTGTAATTTCATTCATTCATTCATTCAGTCATTCAATCACTTCTGTAAAAATGCAAAACGATTGATGCAAAAAAAAACAAAAAACAAAATGGCTTCTTTTATTTTCTTTTTTTTATACAACCGAACGAATTTCGTTTCTAATGTAATTGAAAAATAAAAAAAACCATTTAAAACAATATCATTATTATTTTTTTTCCGTTTTTTTTTTTTTTGAAAACTTTTAACGACTACAATAATTTTATACACATTTCATCAATCACACATTACCAACACTACAAAAAAAAAAATACTACACTCTTGTATATACCTTTCCATCCAGAGAGAGAGAGAGAGAGATAGAGGCAAAGTGACAAAGTGAGAGAGAGAAAAAGATAGATAGATATAGTGCTGCCCAATAATTTTTTTTTATAATTACTCACATTTTTACTCTATATATATATTTACTATATAAAAAAAAAAAAAAAAAAAAAAAAAAAAAAAAAACCAACCAACCAACCAACCAATCAAATGGCAATACTGCATATCCCAACCCTTTTTAAACCAAATTTTACTCAAAATGTCAAAAATTAACAACCCCCACAAAGCAAATAAAAAAAAAAAAAAAA